ACAACATGTGGGGGTCATCAGCTTACAAAGACACTCTAGACCGGTAGCGTAGACAGGCCCCAAATGTATCTAAGTGTCCCGCCTTGAAAAACAGGAGAGAAAAAAACAGAACCTTGAGTAGCTTTATTTTATAGTCGTGGAAACTGAGGCACACAGAAGCAAAGAGATTCGCTCATGGTCAAAAAGCCAGGAATAGAAAACGGCAGATCTGCTGATAGTCTGATGGGGTATCTGACGGTGCCGGTGACTATCACATGTGGGCACAACTTCTGCCAAGCCTGCGTCACCCAGTACAGTGAGGAGAAGGGAACGGTGACACCCCTGACCTGTCCCCAGTGCAGAGCCCAGTTCCAGAAAGGGGAGTTCAAATCCAACACACAGTTGAACAGCATCGTACAAAAGATCAAACACCTGGGTTTAAAACCAGGAAAAGGGCAAAAGGATTATCTGTGTGAGAGACACGAGGAACATCTCAAACTTTTCTGTGAGGACGATGGAGAAACTATTTGCTTGGTGTGTGAGAAATCCCGGGACCACAAGTCTCACACTGTGGTTCCCACTGAGGAGGCTGCCCAGGAGTACAAGGTAGGAAATGCTGTTGACTTTGCTTAATTAAACCCGTTAAGGACACCAGGTTTATCCCCCATCAATACAAGGACAAACATTCACACCTGGCTGCCTAAAGATAGGCACCTAAACGAAAAGGGCCTGGTTTTCAGAGGGGATGAGCACTGGGGGTTGTGGATAATGGGAAAAGATCCAAACTTTTTTTGCTCCAAGACTGCAAGTTCCAATACCTAACAGAGAGAACAGGGCTGACGGCTCTTTGTGCACCTGCAACCCGTCTGCCAGGTGGAGTGGGCAGCAAGAACATAAGACCATAAGAACAGCCATCCCCTTTCGGACCAAAGGTCCATCTAGCCCAGTAACCTGTCTTCCGACAGTGGCCAGTGCCAGGTGCCCCAGAGGGAATGAACAGAAGAGGTAAACATCAAGTGATCCAGCCCCTGTTGCCCATTCCCAGCTTCTGGGAACAGCTTCTGAACAGCTGATCTGTGGCAGGTGGGAGGCGCTGGGAGGATGGGGCAGGAGCTGGTCTCTGGGCCGCCAGCGGGCAGGAAGCATTGCGGGGCAGGGGCAGAGCTGATCGGTGGGGCTGCCAGTAGGTGCTGAGCACCCACTATTTTTATTCCATGGTTGCTCCAGCCCTGGAGCACCCACAGAGTCGGTGCTGATGGTAGAAAAGAAACTTTAAATGAGAGGAGGGAAGTCACCCGGCATTGATTAAGGAAAATGCCACACGCAGGATTCATAAACATAAAACCGTGAGCAAAACACCCTCTCCAGTGTACGTTGGTCAGTGTCTTCTGCCTCATGTTCTGGAGTTCTACCACCAAAAGTTCCTTTGCTGTGCCCCTCTCTGCTCCCTCACCCCACCCCACTCACAGTGGCTGTCCTTGGTCAGTGAAGACTCAGGGTTCAGAGATGCATCTGTGTGAGCTCACCTCCCACCCTGGGGGCGTGGGGGAGGAGGAAAAAGGCACCTTGGTTGCTCCAGTGTCCAAGCACTTGCCCTGGTGTCACCACCCTGCCTCACACCCCACTGGCCCACTCCACCAGCCACCCTGCCAGCCATCACCTGCTTCTCTGCTATAACCTCTACAGATCAGGGCATGTCTACACTTTCAATTTAAAGCAGAAAAAGTCCCCTTTTTGCACAAAACCCTCGTCTCTTGAGGTTCTTTGCTGCTCTTAGTGATTTTCAACTCTTAGAGGGGGAACTTCCTTGCTGAAGCAGGCTGGGCAGAAACGCTGTCCCACATCAAGTGATTTCAGCTCTAGTGATCACTTAAAAAACAAAAGACTCTGAATAGAGCCTTAATTAGTTCTGTCTGTGAACAGTGGAGAGGAGCAAGTTAAACCATGCCTAGGACTCTTGGGTAAAGTCTACACTTCCCAGCAAGCACACCTGTCCCCACCTCCTCTTAACCTTCAAAGGGGTCTGGCATCCAAGTCCCCCACGTAGTGAGTTCAGTTCAGGGGAGGGTGACCCCCCCAATCACGACAGGCTAAATGCTACTCTGCTGCCCTTTATTCATACAATAAAGATAACACACTTTCATTACCCCCACATTCAATACTGAAGTGATCTGTAATCCAGCACCAGCCACAGCTGATCACTTTGGCAACACAGCCCTGTCTGCTGGATACCTAGGCAGAGTCCGTATGTTCATTTAAATACAGTCTGCACCTGAAGCCTTTTCCCCTCCCCAGCCAGCTGCCGGGGGGAGAGCTCATTCAGACCCTGCTTGCACACGAAACAATCTGGACCCTGACACATCCCTGCACGTCAGTGGCACTGAAAGCCACAGCTGGTACCTGTGTCCTGCTCTTCTTTCTCTGCCATATTTCGTTCTTCTCTCCTCCTTCAGCTCTTCCCTGTCCAGCAGCCCTGCTCCACCCATATTAACTCCTGCGGCCATTAGCCCAGATAACATTAGTAGGATGAGGGGGGGTCTTACAGCTTAGGTACACCAGGATGTACACACCAGGGTATTATAATTGTCTGACAAAGTGGGGGCCACCTGTGTCCTGACACGGTTGGGTTTTGACAGCGTGGGTGGACAACACGGTTCTGGAACCACATTAAAGAAACATGTTATTGCTCCCAACCCATCTGGGGCTGTGTCTGGGCTGGAGAGTGGGAGGCCGGGGATGAGACGCTGCTGAGGTTCCCTGCCCTCACCCCGGGAGAGAGGGGAGGACATGGGCTGATGTTAGGGCCCTGCCCAGGGTTGCAGAAGGAAGGGAGAGAAATGGCCTGAATTCCCTCCCCACAGGGACCAGATTCACTGACACACTCAGTTTGGCCTGAACTGTCCCAAATTTCTTCTCCTCTTGTTCATTGAGCCGCTTCTCTGCCCAGGAACTCGCAGGCCACGTCGACACTGCAGGGGTTTCAGCAGCGCAGCTGCAGCCCGGCAGCACAATAGCCAGGGAGACCGAAGTGTCACGTTAAGATCAGGCCCAAGCCTCTGTGCTCACTGACAGGGCTCAGAGACAGCCGGGAAGTGCTGGCACTTCTCCCGCGAACCACCTGCCTTGTTCTCCGGGATCTCAGCTTTCACTTTGCTTTAAACTGAGTCTCCAGCTGTTTTGGTTGTGAAGAAAACCTCAAAACTGTGACCCAGATGTAGGGGATGCAGAGAGCTGGGCACAGCGGCTCTGAGAAGTGTGAACGGCCCCATTGCCTCAGTGAGGGGTGAGCTCAGGGATGATCATTTAAATATCAACACTGTTAATTATTTCATTCCCCTGTGAGAGCGGAGAGGGAGAATTGCAGCTCGGCACCATTTACTGCCAGTGACGCCTCCTTCCGGTGCCACAAGCGGGTGATGTTTGGGAGATGCCACCTCTCCTGTTCCCCCCAGTAAAGAAGGATCCGGCCCAGAGAGTCCAGCAGAGCCCAGGGGTATATTCTAGCCCCAGGATGGGAGCCAGGCCCCAGAAGCCCTTGAAGCCCATCAGCAACTCCATCCTGTTCTGAACATTGCACCATCCACTGTGAACAGATCATGGTGTCTCCTTTTGGTGACTCACATGGATGGAGCTTCTTTTGTGGGTGGAGCTTCAAAGAATCCAGCCATATTTCCCTGCCCCCCTCCCCCCCAGTCTGATCTCTGCTCATTTATGAAGCTGTTTTGCTGGATGCAAAGGCTGCTTTTCTGCCTCCTGTCTCTCACTAGCCCTGGCTGGCTCCCTCCCTCCCTCACTGCTTCCCTGCAGCAGCACCGCAGGGGTGTCAGCTGAACAGCACCCCAGGAGCTCTCAGCAGCTGCAGCCTGGGCCCTTGGGCAGGGAGGAGGAGAGAAAAGAGAGTGAAATGGGGAGATCTCTGGCGGGGGCTCAGGAGGGGACTCTGGGGGGCTGCCAGGGGTGTTGCACAGAGCGGGGCTGACAGGGCAGGAGCACGTTGCTGTGCTGTGTGAATGAATCACACGCTGTCAAAGGGGAAGAGAGCCCTTGGTTATTACAGCTCTGGAGCCGTTATAATTATGGGTGTCCCATTCCCCCAGACCGAGTGTGTTCCCTGTTCCTCACTGACCTCCAGCCACATCACAGCTTCACCCTGCACAGTTAACGGGACTGCACTGGCTCAGGTGCTCAGCTGCTGCCCGTGGGAGGCCACATGGGCGCCTGGACAGACGAGAGCCCAGTGGGGTCTTGTTCCTGGCTTGGGTCTGGGGTACAGTGGAGCGAGGTGCTGTCCCAACCTCTTCACTCGCACTGGCAGGAGGGATCGTTCAGAACCTTCCCAGCTATTTCACCTCTGGCCTGTGCTCAGGGATGGGAAACTTTAGCTAAAACACAGGCTTTGAGAAGTCCTGAGTGTCTGCACGAAGCAGAGCCCCTGCTCTGAGACTGGCCTCTCTTTCCCCATGAGGCCTTTGGGGCCGGCAGAGACGAGTCTGCTGCTCGCTTCCTGGGTATTTTACTGCTCCTGTATGAAATGCCAATATGGATAGTGCTGTCCACCCATCGGACAGGCAGACTAATGGCTGTTTATTGCACACGATGCCCCTGCAGGTGAAACTCTGGGTCTTCTGAGGAAGGAGCTGGAAGAGGCCCTGGCTTTGACTTCAAAAGAGAAGGAGAAAACCACAGAGTGGCAGGTGGGTGTCCGGGTTTATTCCTTCTTGAGCCCTTCCCCCTGCAGCGTTCCCAGGAATGACAGGGCCATAAAGCTCCAGAATGAGGTTATGAATCTTCTCTAGTTGTTTGCTCCGTTGCACAGGCTTGGTGCCGGCCATGGGCAGCGCAAGCCTCTGGCATTTGGGGAGGCCGGGCGTGAGTGCTGGAACCTCCCTGGTTCCCAGATCATTGCCCTGCCCACTGCTTCACCCCCATTTGGCCTCTTCTCGCCGAAGCCCCCCTCCACAATCCACTCCTGCTCTGCCCCATGCCTGGCTCCCACTCAGCCCCCTCCCCAGAGGCTTCCTGCTCACCATTCACTGCTCCGGGGCTGGAGCACCCATGGGGAAAAATTAGTGGGTGCTCTGCACCCACCGGCAGCCAAGCTCTCCTCCCCACCTCCTTCCCTAAGTGTGCCGTGTCCCCGCTCCTCCGCCTACCTCCCAGCGCTTGCTGCCGCAAAACAGCTGTTTGGTGGCATAGCAAGCTCCGGAAGGGATGGGGGAGGAATGGGAACACGGCATGCTCAGGGGAGGAGACGGGGAAGAGGTGGGGCCAGGGCGGGGATTTGTGGAAGGAGTCGGAATAGGGGCAGGGAGGGGGCAGAGTTGGGGCGGGGACTTTGGGGAAGGGGTTGGAAATGGGACGGGGCAGGAGGGGTGGGGCAGGCGCGGAGTCGGGGCAGGGCCGGGTACAGAGGGGGGTTGAGCACCCATCGGCGCGAGCAGAAGTCGGCGCCTATGCCCCATCCCGTCCCCCCTGCCCCCTCGCCTGCCACTTGCTCCTTTCTGCCCCCTCCTGCCTTAAGGAAGAGTGACAGGGGGAGGGGCAGAGAGGAGCAAGTGGCGGGGCCCCCCACACAGCTGATGGGCAGCAAGGGGCGGGTGCTGCGGGGTTCGGGGGAAGAGCGGGAGCGAGGGCTCTGGGC